TATAAATTTGATTAGTAGTAATAAATAATTTAGAGATGAGTTAGTCCCATTACAAACAATAATTATTTCCATTTATTACTAAAATTAATAGTGCATTGTTTGATAACCCAGTTATTAATAAGGTTTTTATTGTAGTCTTTCTCATCCTTAGGAATGGCAACGGGCTAGGGCAACGACAGGGATTACACTCCCCGTCTTCGATCCTTGAAGCTAAAAAAATTCCAATCCCCGATCCCAAAAAATTCCCGACCCTTTCATAGATTGATCAGAATTAACACGGTCATCAGACTTACAAACATCACAGGGAACATAAAAAAGATCAAAATCACAAAATTTATAGTAATAAACTAAAAATCAAAAATAAAATAAAATAATAATAAGAAAAAAAAAGGTATGAAGCTTAGATAGATGTTGGATAGAGCTGGGATTAACATTTATCATCATCGCACCACCACACTTTCTAGATCTCGAAGATTCTTTGGCCCCTCATCTCAATTTTCCAATATGAGAAGGAGCTACGATCCAGATGAAACGGAGCACATGTTCAAGCACTGAAATACATTTCTACGAAGACAAACATTCAAATATTGCTAACCTCTAATTCAATGCTCTTTTCTTTTCAACCCAAATAGAATCCAATATTGCAAAACTAAAAACAGAAACAAAAACCAAAATCCAAACTTAGCAACAAAATAAAGCTATATTACTTGAGATAAAAAAATAAAATAAAAAATACATAAGATTGATCGAGTGAGGAAGAAGAAATAACATTTACAATCGCTTTGGTTGCAACAGACAGTCTAACTACCAAATCTATAGAGAGTCCTTCCTTGCCTCTTGAGAGCATAGACTACCACATAAGATTGATCGAGAGGTGAGACCAGAGAGAGAGAGAGAGAGAGAAGCACGTTGATGGAGACACTTTGTTCATTAGCGGAGACGCCTTGTTCTGGTCTCGATCATTGCAGATCTAAGTTCATTTTCGCCGAGATTGGAAACCCTAACCATAGCTCTCTCTTTCGCTGAAGATAGTGGAAAATAAGGGAGATCGGCGGTGATAGAAGAAAGGAGAGGAGCAGTGTCGCGACCCGCTCCCCGTACCCAAGAGTTAAGTATCGTGATAGCCAATAACTGAAGTTACCTCCGACCAATTCTTAAGCAAATCACTAAACACAAGTGGAAAAAAAATATTTAAGTGAGGGTACCAAAATAGTCATTGGAGCTTCTATTTTATTAAATTGTCAGAGCTGAATTATGTCTACAAGGTACTTTGTGCTTACCCCACGCGCTGGCCCTGACATGTCACCTAAAAGTGATAAACAGCCATAGGCACATGACAGAGTGAGAAATATTATACTAAGAGCATAAGGGTATAAAAATCACCATAAATAATTATTGGCTAAATAAGGTTTGATATTAAAATATAGAGTATATAATACAAAAATCATTTGACATATAATACAAAATAATCATAACCACAGTACAAAATAGAACATAATACAGGTTATTGGAGTGACAATCAGAACAGGGGTCAATAGATCTATAACAAACAGAGGACCACAAAGTGGCCAAACAGGGACCAATAGTTATTTAAGTCCCCAAAGGCACAGGACTCCCATGGTGGTACTTACAGAAAATAATTGTTTATAAAATCATTATCAAATAATTATTAAAAATTAAACAAACATATCCATAGATTTCAATTTAAACAAAGAAAGTTCAGAAAATAATTAACATAATTAAAATATTAATATAATTTATAAAACACAAATTACATAAACTAAACTATGATAACTCAAAGTATAATCCCTATAAATTGGACCTATTGGCCTCTTAATAATTTCCCCAGACCTTCACTCGACCATCCACTCAACCCTGGCTCTCCCAGTCACTCGCTCTCTCATTCTTCTCTTTTCCACTCGTTCTCTGTTTCATTCCTTTCCTTATTTTTGTTTATTCTTTATGAAACAACACCACACCTATATATATAGGTGGGTGACTAACGCATGAGAGACATCTAGCTTGCCAGATGTCTTCTCTAAATTAGAGGTGGCAAATTCACTTCCCATAATTACACTTTGACCCCTAAATTTCTTGATAATTATATTACTTTACACAATGATAATTATATTACTTTACACAATTACACATAATAATATAAAATAAATCGTATATTTTATCAACTGTGATTAAATAATTTTAGTATACATTTTAAAGAATAATTAAAATCTAGATTGTTACAAGCAGGAGCGAAGCCAAAGAAGGCTCAGGAGGTCACGTACCCCCCTCAATTTTGAACATTTTTTTGTTTTTGTTTTGTAGTCATATACAAAATGTATTCTCTCTTTTTGTTTTTTTTTTTTTTTTCTTTTCTTAACATGTTCTTTGGCTAAGGATTTATTGTATTGTTCACAATTAGTAGTTATTTGATATTTTGAGAGTACTATGTGGTATTGTTTATGTGGTAGTCTAAACCAATAGTGTAGTGTGAAATCTTATGGATTTGTGATTATTTTTAGGTAGTTGACAAACTAATTAGTGTGATTTGTGATTTGTGATTTCTCATACTTTGAGCATCATATAGGTAACACCATATGGTACTCTAAGACTATTTTATAATTTCTATTAAAAACGTATCATTTATAAACAATATCATTTCTTTAATATTTTCTATTAAATAAAAATTAAATAGATTTTATAATAATTTGTGTGTGTTTTTATAGGAATTTTGATCCACAATTTTTTGTGCTAAAATTACAAGCTTACATCACCATCCCGCACCGAGCTATTACACACTATTATAGAATTTTGATTTGTTCCTATTAGTAATGATTTTTAATTTCTTATACTTAAATTTAACTCATAAAATTATTATTATCTTAATGTTGATCATGAGAAATTTTTTGTATGCCAATAGGATACCACGTGGCACTACCTTCTACTAATCACAAATGTATGTGCCTACTTTTATTCCCCAAACACTCAACATAAATGTAATGGACCCTACTGTCAAAGCTAATCACAATAGTAGTAGATACCACATGGCATGTATTATATCCGCATAGAAAAATCTCTCATTGATCATGATCTTTTTTTAAATAAAAAATTGTAATTAATTAGTATCCCCTTTTACTTAATTTTCTGACTCTGCCACTGGAGAGAAGGACAACAGAGGAAGAGGGATAAGAGGACAGCGAAGGAAATGAGGGAGATCGACGGTGATGGAAGGGTTTTAGAGTGAGAGAGAGAAACCGAGAGAGATGAGAGGCAGTCTGCTTGTATATAAGTGTGAGGTTGTGTAAGTGTAGTTGGGTTTTAGGGTTTGGTTTATATATATATATAGGGATATAATAGTAATTTCATATCGGGGAGACAGGGACAGAGCTAGGAAACATATCACCGTTCCTGGCCTGAAATTTATCGAGGATTTATTTTCGTATACAATCCCCGACTTGTCGAGGGTATTTTTTAGAAGAAAAAAAATCATTCTAATCAGGGTTGAGGAGCTGAGTCCCTGTCGGGTCAGGTTCAAATTGCCAACCCTACTTATCCTATATATATCTCAACTCAAATAGAGAGATTTCTACTTCTATATTACTGTAAAAAAAACAAGCGGAATTGTGAATAAATTAAATTTTATAGTAAAAAAGTCCAATACCACCACTATCAATAGACATTAGTTTCAATGTTATAACTAAACATTAAAAAATTTATGAAGTGTTATGAAAAGATTATTAAAAATTAATTTTTTAACATTTTAAAAAATGTGTAAAAAATATGAAAAATGGCGAGACTAAGGTTAAGTTTGGCATGTCTTGAAAAAGATAAAAAGTTACTCTAAAAGTTAAAAGCTATTATTATTCATCAAAAAAAATTAATTTAACATATAATTACAATTCAGACGGCTCTGCGATCCAACAGGTGGAGGTTACTTTTGAGAAAAATTGCACAGTTTTAGGGGCACAAATAACACAGTGATGGTCGGCCTATTTGGGTCCCGTTTTAATAATTTGAACTGTTTAATGTGTAAAACTCGTCGAGTATTATATGTCTGTAATAAATCACGTTGAATGGATATCGGTAAATATATGATCAAATCAGTTAAAATTTATAAAATGGATGGTGTTATAGTTAACGATTGAAAAAAAACTAATTCGATTAGATAGCTATCAATATCCAATCAACGTGATTTTTTACAAATATATTGTACTCAACAAGTTCTATATATTGAACGGTTTTAATTAGCAAAACAGGACTCGTGGTGAACCCCAATGAGCCGAACAACACCTCCAATTCAAGCCGGAAATCATATCCCAAGTACACTTTGCACACACAGTCCTCTATTATCTCACCGTACCACCTATTTCCTCGCAACCTTCTCCTATACACTAATTTATATAATTTTTTAATACACATTTTTTCATAAAAAGTTAAAAAAATTATCCCAAACAACCCTATTTTTTTCCTCAATTTTTTAGTCTAAAAAGTCAAAAAATACACTTATTTAAGACACTCCAAACAATCTCTAATAATAAGTTAAAAGTTAAGAAATGACTTTTAATCCACTTTCCAAAAGAGGCCATTATGTTTGGTTACAATTCATGTGTGTGTGTCTTACATATATGTAATAACAAAATGGCATTAACAGAGACAACATCAAAAAGAGAAATCAAAAACAGAGAAGAAAAAATAAAAATGGCATTAAGAAGTATATATGAAAAAAAACTACAAAAAGCGACAAGACAAACTGTAATTTCTTTAAAGGAAAAAGTGGGCTGTAATTTATCCCCCAAAAAAAACATCAGCCACAAGAATCCTGTGTACATTCCTGAGTTCATCATACTTTTATGTGCACATAACAAAACACTTACTAGATCACATTCGATTTAAACTAAGCTCTTAAATGACCAATGTGTTCTCAAAATCCTTGGTTTCAGTATCTTAACAGTCTGCAGCACAATCAAGAATTTCAAAATTCAAACAAAGCTAGCGAAGAGATGTGAAAAATAAAATAAAATGATGAAAACTTAATTGTCAAATATAATTTAGCCAAGCATTTATTCGTTAGCATCAAATTTATGTACACATACTGATGGAAGACTACCCCAAGAAAAATGGAGCAAAGAGAAAGGCCAAAGCTTAAGCTTCGGTGGCTACCAGAAAGAAAAAAATTACAACTCTAAACTTTAGTAGTTTCACTATGACTTAAAAAACTTTGATGATGATGATATGCTTAGTTGCTTACAAGTACACGGTTGGTTGCACGGGAATTCTACACATGGTTCAAAAGCTCCAGCTCTCTCCACTGGTTCTACTTTACGGACTTATTCAGCAACAAATACCATCTAACCTGTAAACAAACAGCAGCGAAAGGAAGATTAAATATTCATTAGAGTAGACTGCAAAACAGTAGGCATTAGCAATTAAGGTTATGTGCCCATTATTAAAGACTATCCAATTCTAAATGAATTTCTAAGAGGGAAAACATGTATGATGACACAAACTAGATGCGCCTGAATTTTATTGGGAGCTTCCTTCTATTTCCACACCCCAAAAACACTAAGTCAACACACTTGCTGCATTTTATTTTGTTTTTTTAATCATGATTTTATCCCTCAAGCAAATTACCTTTTCAGAAAAAACTCTAAAATAAAATTTCTCAGAACATACCCTTCACACACCAAAAATACTAAGTCGACACACACACATGATTTTATCCCTCAATCATATTACCTTTTCAGACAAAACTCTAAAATAAAATTTCTCATATTGCACTAACTTTACACACTACGAATGTTACTGAAAACAGATTAAGCAGTGCTTAACCTGACATTTAGCCCCATTGACCTGTGTGTGTGTGGCACGCTTAACGTGTCGGAATTGAAGTATATTAACCCAAAGCTACATACCACAAATGAGAGATTTAATTTCTCCTCTCCACAGTTTTCTTATTTTAAATTACGCATTCATATGAAGATAATGCAATTGGGATCAAGAATTCACCAAAATCTGAGCACGTGCACATATTCAATACCAAATTGTTTAAACATAAAACACCTTTTCTGTCAGGAGATCCAATTGTAAAATTTTAATGTTTCTTAAGCGCACTATATGGATGGGAATTTACCTACAAAATCTGAACGAAAGAATATATGAGCTCAGACTTTATGTACAAAAGGAGAATCTACTCTTGCAGCCTCAGCCGATTGAAGAACACCAAGAAATGATATTCGGGAGCCCAATACACAAACCCAACAACAGGCCCCCCTTTAATATACTGCACAAATACAATAAAGGTATGTATTGAACAATCAGTATCTATTTGTGGAAAAGAAAAAAAAAACCACACGAAAACAAAAACCCAAAAGATAAAGAAATGAAAAAAAGACTAGACAAGACAATTAATAGAACTGGAAAACCTTTCCATCTAGAATAACAAGCTCGCCATCTACCCATCGAGGGTTCCGAAAACCTGGCTCAGCAAGCCTGCCTTGTCCTTTATATCGAGCAATCTGAATTAAAATAAGATCAGAATAAGAGCCTCAGCTAAAGAAAAGGGGAATGTGATGCAGCCAAAGGTCCAGTTTCTAAAAGGTTCTAATCTACATAATAAGGAGTGGGAAAGAAACAGGAAAAATTAGAACAAGAGAGAGAATTTAATTTTCACAAGAAAGTGATATACCACTCCAAATTCTTCTGGAATGATCCCTTTATGAGGAAGCTGATATTTTTTCCCAACCTTCGCGCGGAATGCTACCTATAGAAACAGCTAACAATATCATATCATGAAGGTCTAAAAAACAGATTAGATAAAAATATAATTTGTTCTGGAGGATTGTGACAATGGTCCACAACAACCATGATGATTTATAACCTTCCTACTATTTTTGGTCTGAGCAAGTAGTTTAGTGCTTCCCATTATAAAAATTCAGATTTTAGTTGCACGAAGCAGGAGCAGGAGCAGGAGCGGGAAATCGTAATTATTCCAAGAATTGTTGGTAGGGAGCGTTTGTATATATATTAACTAATATAATATATATATATATATATATAAATAAATATTGTAAGATTATATATTTTTTCTCTAATAATAATGAAAATATATGTTACAAATTTAAATATATATATATATACATATGAAAAATCATATAATTATATACTTTTATTAGATTTTTTTATTATAAAATATTTATATTATTTTTTTATTTTATATAATATCTAATTAATTAAACACAACATAAAAAATTTAAAAATAAATAACAAATAAACATTATTTTAAACATAAATAAATATTCATTTTAAACATTCATTTTTTGAGCTAGCCAACACGAGATAATAAATTAGTTAGGTGGAATTTATATATATTTGTGCAATCACAACCAGCAAGGCAGATTTCATTAATTGTAAAAAGAGAAGGGTTAAATCAAAAGTCATTTTGTATAAATATGGCATTAAGACACAAGTAGAATTAATGAAAAAGATGTTAATTTATAATATAAAATCTATACTTACATAAATGAAAAATAAGAAATTTAAGTATTAAAAGACTTTTCAGTCTCGAACGGAGAGGTAGGGAGAGAGAGAGACGAAGAAGAAGAAGACGCCTAATGAGAAGAAGAAGAAGACGCCTGCGAAGCACAAAGCTTGAGAGATGAAGAATAAGAAGATGAAGACCAAAGCTTGAGAAGCAAATATGTGGAAGAAGACAACGCAATCTCCGCTTTCATAGCCCTAATCGCAAGTCCATATCAGGTTTTTCTTTTCCTTGTGATTCTCTCTCTCTCTCTCTTTGTTGTTGCCGTGAAATACAAATCCTTAGCTTGAGCGTTCCCATCCAGTTAGATCCACAATTCTTGCTACGAATCGTTGAATCGCGATTCTAGACAATAATCGTCTCCCCTTCCCACGATTCCTGCTACTAAGATTCAGATTGTGAAATCAAAACTCAAACTCCAAATTCCATATTCAATATATCCATACATTATCGGGCTCCTACTTCAATTATTTAGGGTCTGTTTGGTAGAGTTTTTGAAATTTAATTCTACCCATTAGCGTGAGTGTGTTGTTTGGTTATACCTTTAGAAAATTAATTCTACACCTACTTTTCAAAATACTTTTTAAAACACACACTTTTCAATATTATATGTCACATCACTCAATTTAAACTCTTTTTAAAACTCATAACCAAACAAAATTTTCACACTCAAATCATAATTCCAAAACTCACATACTCAAAATACAACTCTATTCTCAAATCATAATTCTAAAGCTCTACTAAACGCAACCTTACTTTCTTTTTATGTGTCGAACAAACTATTATAGAATATTTGTCAATTTCATTGAGGAAAGTAACTAGTAGAAAATTAATAGAATGATTGGATAAGAACCAAGGTCATCTCAAAGTTTCTCAGTTTCTTGTGACATTAGATCAAACTGATATAAGGGTCCACGTATATCACAATTCTCATTTTCTTGATATTCTTTTTGCAATTCATAATTAAATTAATTGGTTGAACAAATGCAGAGTCATAATTTAGAAAGAATATAAGCAAATAAACAGCAGGAGATTCATACACATAGTTAGCACACCCACATTACATACTAAAATGAAAATTTTAAATTACCTGACCAGCTGGCACATAAGGATCCCCAGTTAATTTTATAGCTTCTACATACTCATAAAATTCAAGATTTGGAGGCTCCTTAGCGCCACCATCCTCTTGCCATTGACCAAATTTGCGTTTCACATGAATGACTTCTGAAGTATAAAGCCCATGTGCGCCAATGTACAGTCCTGATAAAATAAAATAAAAACAGAACATTCTCAATATGTTGAAAGTAAGATTGGTGAAAGCACCTAAGATAACAACAAAGGCAATAAAGTGGAGGACCAGAAAAGTAAAGAGCTACCATCACTATAAACAGCAACAAAATAGCATCAAACAGTAAAATAAGCGAAACAATTTTCAAATTAAATCACCATTTAAAGGATCAGGAGATGATGGAATCTCAATGCGATTAAATGTTGTTGATCCAGAGAGTAACTGACGATTTTGAGCCTGACTGAGAGTGAAATTTATCAATTCACCAATATCTTTAAGCACCTGCATAAGAAGCATAAATTAACCAAGTGAGCAGTTAGGCAAATTGTAAGTTTAGCAAGTGTGAACTCATTCTGCAAAATAAACATAAGAAGATGTGCCATATAAACATTAGAAACTAACCTTCATAGGTATCTTCCCTCTGCCAATAAACTTTGCCAGGTCAAACATAACATGGTCAATGCTATGTTTAGCTCGAAGCTTAGCTTTTTTGTTCTGTGGAGTTTGACCCTTGCCTTTAGAAACCAGTTGATTGTCATCTTTCTCTATAGAAAAAGAAAACGACAAGCGACCCCTTTTCTCTAGCCTGGCTGGTACTCGAATTAAATTTTTATTTGGTGCAATATTGGAAATTTTCTGCACAAGACCACCAACAACGACCTTAACTGCAATTTCACTTCGCTCTTCCCCATCAAGGATTCCACCACCAGCATCCATTTCAATCTCATTCTGCTCTAGATCACTTTCGCCTTTATCTTCATCTTCTGTGTCTACACTTTCTACATCAGTATCCTTCTCTTCATCCTCATCTTCATCCTCCATCATTTGTTCAATCACCTTAGATATGAGATCCCGGTCTACCTTCCCAGGAGCTGTCACTTTCAAAACCTTGACCTTCACACCAGGTATCATATCACGTAAAACATTATCAAAACCAGAGAATCCCTCAGCTATATCAGAATCATCGTCCCTATCTTCACCATCTCCTGTGTCTTCTGTACTCTCAAACAAATCAGTTTTGTCTTCAGTTGAGTCTAAGGGGCTCAAGCTCCCGGTAAGACCCAATGAATTGGGTGCAACAACTGGAAAATCTCGAGGACCTCCCATCCGCCTCAAGTACACTGCCTAAAAGTCATGAATTCCGTAAGATAGCTTATATAGACAAAAGAAACACTAATACAAAGTAATCATGAAAGTACAGACACAATGTGCCAAGGGTACATCCATTGAAAAATATATGCGTATATATAAATATCGGCATGCACGCGTGCCCCCACACACACCCTTATATATATATATATATGAATGTGCATATTTGTACAGAGTCAAAAAGAAAACATATAGATAAAAGTATGTATATATGAACATGCTCATGTGCTAATGTTCATGTGATACAGGACAGCAGCATGTTAAAATTTGATAAGAATCAAGGTAAAAGCATCAGACACAAGCAGATATAACTACCCTCACTACCAAAATAAAAAGACAACCTAAAACAAAAAGGATGAATAAAGCTGAACATGAGGAGAAAATTTTACTACAGATGTGATGAAGTCAAAAGTCACCCTCTCTTACCCTTGCGGCCTGGCCTAATCCTGTACAGCCAGCAAAAAATTCTTTACTACGTATTTTTCCACCAATAGACAGTGTTAAACTTTCTTTAGATGCAAAGGACCAGTACATCAACACTAACTTTCTTACAATAAAATCACAAAATGACAATGCATTTTAATTTTTCCATAGCACGTCTCCAACATCTTATCTTTGACAATCTTAGGAGGAGAAGAGAGATACAAGTGTGTACGTGTAAAAAGGATGAGAGAGTTAGTGAGTGATCTACTCATTTCATTATGCGGCGGCTAGAGAGTTGTGGTCCATGTTCTTGGCATTTTTGGAGTTGTATGTGTATTCCCAAAGGTGTGGCAGATCTCTTTCAGTCATGGATAGCAGCTAGGGGTAGGGAAATGGAGGAAAGCATGGAGTTTGGTGTTGGGATCTCTATTGTGGCTTATTCAGCAAGAGCAAAATAAAAGAACTTTTGAAGGGGTTGAAGAGTAGCTTTTCAAGCAAGTTTTTGTCTATTTTGTATAGTTGGAAAGCATTTGTACACAAATGGCACCCCATTTGTGCCTTTTTGGTTATTGATATACATATCAAATATATATTATCCTTTAATATGTTTTTATATTCTCATGTTCTCAATTCAGCTGATATATGAAATTATCTTATTATTAAATTTTTCAAACTTCCAAAATTAAATTATTGGTGTATCCAATACAACTTTTTGGAAATGAAATGGATGTACACATCTAATGATATATTTTGCTGTGCAACAATCAGTTTGCTGCTAGATTGGAGAATCAGAGTTCGGATGAACAAGAAGTGAAAATGTTGGAAAGAAACTACGAAGAAATCCTCTTTTGTAATAATGGACTTATCATAGATACAAATGCACCCTTATGCTTGTTCTGCAGGATAGCACACCAACCTACAATCATTACTGCCGCAAATAAGCAATAAACTTCTCAAGATTATATACACTTCACATTCAATGATACTGACTGTGAAATTCCTATTCAACAAGGAAATGCAAAGACCCTTTTATAATTAATCATTGAATTGCTCATTCCTACATTGCAACTGAATATTGATTTTGCATGCGATTAACTATTTTAGGTTTTTTTGTGCTTTATTTTTCCAGATGTACTCGTATCATATATACACCCCTCATACATTGTTTTTGCTGCTCTGAATAAAAAATCTTTTATTTTATTATACATTTTCCATTATATTGCATCTCCGCCAAGAATAAAAGATATCACCAAAATAATTGCCACATGCACATAGTTTCTAGAAAAGTAATGATGCAACAATTCACAAGAATATAATATGTAAGCAAGCATATGAAAAAATTTCTATAAGATACTCCCCATTCACCACATACCAAAAGCCATGCGCATATTTAGAAGTTTGGCAGTTACAACTGTAGGTGGGTAAAGAGAGGTACCTGCTGTTTGTATTCACCCATCTTATTAACTGTTAGAAAGATTTCAAACAGGGGAATACCAGCTGTAGCTGTTGCAAGCTGCCTGAAAAAGAAAGGTCATCAGCCAAGATAGGACCTTCAAGAGCATGCAATGTATCTGGATCACTAAACACAAAGAACATATGAACTGGTAAGACCTAATTGCCCAAAGTACAGAGCAGGAACTTGGGAAGGACGGCATTCAAAACAGAAGTACCTAGTGTCCAAAACCACAAGACTATACGCATAAAAATAGATACTGGCATTGAACATGCATATAATAATATTTGCAATTTATAATGTTTGAAAATATCTTAATATAAATGTAATAATGCATTAATGGGTGCATGTACACACTAAGGGGTTGTTTGGGGTATCCTAAATAAGTGCACTTTTTGACTTTTTGGACTAAAAAGTTTAGGAAAAAAAATGGTTGTTTGAGTTAATTTTTTAACTTTTTAAGAAAAAATGTATTAAAAAATTATATAAATTAGTGTGTAGGAGAAGATAAGGATTGTGGGTTGTACAGCCGTACCATCTGCGCAGGCTGAATTGATGCTAAGAAATGCTTGCCTACTTTTTGGGCATTGCATTGGACCACTGTTCGGCCCGTAGGGACCATCACGGGTCTCGTTTTGATAATCTGAACCGTTCAATGTGTAGAAGTCGTCGAGTACTATATGTCTATTAAAAATCACATTGATCGGGTATCGATAGCTATCTGATCAGATTAGTTTTTTTCCAACCGTTAACTATAACACCATCCATTTTTTTATACAAAACTGATTTGATCATATAGTTAGCGATGTCCGATCAACATGATTTTTTACTGACATATAGTACTCGACGAGTTCTACACATTAAACGGTTCACATTATCAAAATGAGGCCTGTTATAGGCCCCCACGAACCGAACAACACTGTCCTGTGTAAATTTGTTGTGCACCCGTGTGTAATTTATACCGGGACAGACCCATCACTGTGTCATACCTTATGACTTGTACTTTACATCAATAAATTTATTTATTTTTATATTTTTAATTTGTGAATAGTGATAACTTTCTAACTTTTTTAATAATTTTTTTGGCTTTTTAGCTTTTTTAAGACATGCCAAACCAGCCCTTATTTTTATTTTTATTTTTGGTCTGGAAATACGTAATATGTGACATTTAACCAAGTGAAATTAACTGGAGAAAGAGATAATAGGTAAACAACAATAGTGATGTGGCTTATGGTCATTAGGAATGGCAACAGGGCGGGGTGGGGCAGGGCCGGGGATCACCCTCCCCGTCCCCTATCCTGATGGTGAAAATTTCCCCATCCCCGGCCCCGATCCCCGATTGGTAACCTATTGCTGCCCCGGCCCCTGTCCCCTAACGGGGATTGGGTTTCCTCGACCCCGAAAATTCCCCGGTAGAAAAAAAAAATCAGCAACAGATCTGTTGTTTAACAACACCACCAACAGATTCAATAAAAAAAAAAAAAAAATAGAACAACAGATCAGACAGATTCAATAACAACCACAACAACAAATTCAATAACAACAACAACCCAACAAATTAAAAAAATAAAAAGAGAGTAGAATAGAAATGGCGACAAAGAGGAGGGAAGAGGAGCTTCGATGGTGGAATAGCAGAGGCAGTGTTGTCTCTGCGATCGTCTCTGCGTCGATGATCGGGATAATCCCCCTCTCACCGACTCTCTGCGTCGATGATCGCAATGATCGGGATGATCGACTCTCTGGCAGATCGTCTCTGCGATCGTCTCTCGTCTGCGTTCGACTCTCATCGACAATTGGGTTTGAGAGGTTAGGGTTTTGAATGTGAGAGAGAGGGAGAGAGTAACATAGGTCAGAGACTCAGAGAGAGAGAGAGTGCAGTCTACACTCTACACTGTGACCATCTTAAACATATATATATATATATATATAATATATAATATTTAAAGAGAGACCAAACCAAACTAAACATATATATATATATATATATAATATAAGTCGGGGCTAACCGGGGCGGGGGGCCGAGCCGGGACCGTCCCTGGCCCGAAACTGATCGGGGTTTTAATTTTGAATACCATCCCCGTCCCTGCGGGGATATTTTTTGGAGAAAAACCATTCTTATCGGGGACGGAGGGTCGGGTCCCCGTCGGGCCGGGTTCAAATTGCCATCCCTAATGGTCATTACCACACTTGGCAATGAAATTGCTCAAGGAGTTCTGTCACTTAAAAACCAAACCAAACCAAACCAAACCAAGCCAAGCCTTGTGTCCCAATCAAGTGGGGTCAACAACATGAATCCTTTTTCACCATTCAACTCTAGCAAAGGCTATATGTTTAGTTAAATTAAAATATATTCATGTCTTTTTTTCACTAATGCATCCCATGTCAGCTTAGGTTAGAAAATCTCACTTGAATCCATTGTCAAACTATATATTACCAACTCTCCAGCGCTAAACAAGTACTCCCCTTCTTTCTAGGAGCTTGTTTTGTAATGAGATTTGTTCCCTAATAAGACACAAAATCAAGATAAAATTCTACATCAAGAAAATGAATGAACTTACCGGGGACTATAACTTCTGGCCACGTATCTCCCATGCTCTGCACTTATACGAATAATACGACCATATGGATCATTAGTATCTTCTGAAATTCCAGCCCACCAACCCACCTGACATGCCAAGTAAAGCAAAATGACATCAAACCAAATAAACATGTACCATGCAGTTGCATTAGCATAGAAAAATTATTGACGCTTGTAACTAAATTCAAAGAGGCAACATGGAAATTGGAACTTGGAACACTTTTTAGGTGTCAAATACCCAGATATGTTCCCAGAACATAATTGACCACACGAAAAAGCCTGGATTACCAACAATAACAATTGGGGAAAAAAAGGGCATTAAAAAGCCCAAATTATGTTAATGGAAATCATTTTCTACGAACAAACATGATCCACTGCCTGCAGCCTATAATATTTGTTTATTCAAGCCTTAATAATACCCAAAAAATTTAAGAATAAGAAACAACTCAAAAAAGGGGAAAAAATCAAAAATGTTTTGGAACAAAGAACTACCCAGAAAAATTGGCAAAGCATCCAATCTAGCACCGACAGTCACCCACCAGCATAGACAAGTGAAATAATACAAACAGTGATATGCATATTATTCTCCAGAAATATTAAACCCACCAATCCGGCCCCGGCATAATCCCGTATAAAAGCTGCATCTCGGTATCGCTCTTCCTGTATGGCTCTCTGGAATTGATAACCAAAATATGTAAGAAGAGGACCAAAGATTAGCTAACCAATGATGTTTGTTGCTGGGAACAAAAGTGTTAAAACAATTTTCCTACATTCAGATGAGACATCACTCTGCCAACAGTGTCATTTGTGGCTGCAGCTGCAATCGCCACCTTAAGCCTAGAAGCATCTTCATAATCCTCTCTATTGACAGCATGAGCTAACTGCGACTGTTGAGATAAATAGTGTCAACATACAAGTAGTGCTGTAACGATTAAAAAAATAATATAGCCAATGGAATTGATGACACCAAAATAGCCTTTAGGAAGCATGAATGAAAAATCGAAAAACAATTAAAGAAAGCCTTAGCTTCCTCACAAAAATAAATGCAAGCATAGACATTTCCTTCAAGTTAATTTGGTAGTCATACCATTACACCCGAACTGAAAGTTAACCCAGTCAGAGGAGGAGCATGGAGATTAACTGAAGGCCCGACCAGCTCAAATGACAAAAACAATAACAGTATAAACATGTTCTTTAAGCATAAATACAACATGAAGAACACACTTAACAAGTCTTTGTCCCAATTACTTGGGGTCGACTACATGAATCCATTTTCTCCAATTGATTCTACTAAGTCCATGTCCTCAATTAAGTTTAAGGTATGCATGTTCATTCTCATTGCCTGAACTTAAATTCTACTTGACCTGCCTCTATTGCTTTTACCACCTTCTAAATGCATCAAATTACACCGCCTTGACTTGCACATTAATTAGTCTAAGATCTAAGAGGTGCTGTGAAAAGCTCATAATGTCTCCATCACTTCAATTGCTTTGTCTCATTTGGCTTTGATTTCATGGAACACTAACTTCTTCTTTTTTTTAAATCTTAATGACAATGAAGCGCTAGTTTCTTTGTTGACCATTCTTGACAAACTTTCCCTGAGACTAATTATTACTGATAAGAGAATGCAGTCACTTCATTCCTTAGGGTTCTTCTCATGCAAGTATTTCTTTGATAAGATAATTGATATTCCAAGTAGTCCCCCTATCATTTTCAAAAAGATCTGGAAAATGATTGTGCCTCTTAAAGTTTAAGATTTTTATCTAGATATTGGCTCATAATAGTCTCATGACTAATTACATTTAAAAAAAAATGAGAATTAATAGCAATCTTCATCCTCAATGATGCATGGTATTTAGGGGGAACAGGGGAACGAAAAATCTGTAGATCATTTATTTTTGCATTGCTCATTGGCATCATCTTTATGGCATCCACTTTTCAATTGATGAAGATTTGTTGGGAAACTCCGGCTTCTTGTTCCCACAGCTTCTGATCAAATTCTAGGATTATACGTGTAATGATAAAGCAAGGTTCTTGTGAGATTGTGGTTTTTATGCAATTCTTTGGGTTATTTGGTTGAAGCTTAATTAGGATCTTTGAGGATAAGCTATAAGAGGTTCGCACTTTATGGGATAATGTTTGTTTCTTGTCATTTTTTGGGCTCAATTTCCTCTCCTTTTAGATAAGATTCCATTTTTTCTTGAGAGGACAATATACAGTATGTAGTGTGAGACTTTGGTTGTTTTTGTTTTTATTTTTCTTTTGGCGGACTCCTCCTTCCCCTTTTCTCGTGTACTTTTCTTCTTTTCTAATAATATCTCTTTGGTTGCCGACAAAGAAGAAACGTTTGATAATTTAATCAAAAAAAAGAAAAAGAAAAAACGTTAGATAATTCATCCTAGCTAATTGGGTTGGCTACGTGTATTATCACTCTTTTTCTGCCATTCAACTTTATCTGGTATATTTTTCCATTAAACACTTGGCAGTAATGTCTTTCCTTAACCTCAATCCATGTTATTCCATGCATTCCTCATTTTGACCTTTGGATCCTTTCAACTAAACCCAATGTCCACTGCTTCACATTCATGCATTAAAAGAAGCATGAACAGCTTCTCTCGGTTTGAAATGCACATCCCAATTTTGTAATTTTGTGGGACGGAAGTCCTACATAAACTGACATGGATGCGGTAGTGTATATATATATGAATTTATTTAATTTAATTGAACATATATCATGAACAGAGTAACATAGCAACAAAATGAGCAGAATGATGACGACAACAACAACAACAAAAAACGAGTGCAAGCTCTCTAAGGTCTAAAGCCCTGTTCGTTTATCAGACTGGGTTCGATGGGAATATTAGTCCGGTAGGATTGAGTGAGGGGATTACTAGAGCAGTGGTATTAGGCTAAAGATACAACATAAATTGTGGGTGCTTGTTTATGCACTAGTGTAGTGATATTAGTTGGTTGGGATTAAATTTATGAAACTATGTAAAAACCCATTTTATACAAGGTGAATTCAATCCCATCGGATTAGATTTCACTACCACCTACCACCTCCCCTCCCATGGGATTGATAGTCCCCTCCTTGGACAGGTTTTATAATCCCGTGATGATCATCCAAAACAAACACCTCACTACTCATCCAATCCCATCCTTCATGTCCGAAATAAACAAGATGCATAGTAATTCAGTACATTTCGCGAATTTAATTATCTTAGTTTGTAACAACCATGGTGCATATTGGTTTAACATTTCCACACAATGAAACAAGTGCAACACAGTGAACGCGATAAAGTACCTTCAAAATCGATACAATACGCTCTTGTTCATCGACCTCGCTGAAATGCTTCCGCCACCGGTCCCAATCCCAGTCTTCATCATCAACAACTTCACTTCCTCTCTCGAAAACATCAACACTCTTCACAACACCTTTCGACCGGTTACGGTACGAGTTCATATAATCATCGAACTTCTTAATCGCGTTCCTCAACACCTCCTGAATCACCGAGTCCCACCGACGGTTAACGGAGGATGAGTTATCCGACGGAGAAGCTGAGGCCGAGTCATCGTTGTTCCTGTGGCACCGACAGAGTGCAGAATCGGAAACCCTAGAGAGAGAGTGAGGACTTGATGAGAGACAGTAGGAGTGCAACGATGATCGTCTCAATCATGCGATGCAAACTCGCCCGTTTCTCTCTCTTCTCATTCATTTCAAATTTCAAATTCATTTTGACAATACATTTGAGACTCTCTCTCTCTATTTTGAACTTCTCTTCTCTGAACTTTTCCTCTGTTGTTCCTCTCTCTTGACAATCGCATCTCTCCAACACCGGCGACCCCGACAAGCTCTTCAACCTGGCAACGATCGAGGTTAAACGCAGCTTCTACAACCCCGGCGACCCGACAAGCGCAGCTTCTCTCCGTCATCATCTTTCACTCACGACGAGTGCAGCTTCTCTCCGTTTTCTCGACAGATCGCACAAGTCAGTTCTCTCTCTCTCTATCTCTCTCTCTATATATATATATACCTATATATATGCCCTAATTTGTTGAGATTTTTGTGCCTTTGACTTTGATTTCATCTGTTTATGAGGATTTGGATTTGGATTTTGATTTGATTTGCCCTAATTTTACATACATTGGATTTCCCTAAAAAATCTATATATATATGGTGGAGAATATATAAAAATGTTGAATCAAGCGCTTAATTTAGTTAGGAATTCTCTTTTGGGAAAATGGAAATATTTTAAATATTGCCCCAGAAATGTGTTTAGTTAGGAATTTTAAATTTTAAATATTGATTTAGTTCGGAAATTTTCACTCTTAAATGGTTTTATATTCCTCCAGAAATGTGAGATTACCATAGGAGTATGGGGATCAAATTTTTGATTAGTTTGGAAAGTGATTTCAGCTTGAGTAGGTAATTAGGAATTGTCTTCCCATTCCAATCCATTCCAAAAAGTGGAAATTCCACTTTTTGGCTTAAGACTAGTACATAATTTGTGAATCAAAGAGAAGACACAAACCCACCAGGAGAAGTTCAGAGAAGAGAAATTATAAGTTATGCACCTATTTTGGTTATGCACTGAGTTAGTTCGAGAATTCACTGAGTTCACTTATTTTGGTTTGTTAGTTAGTTCCTGAATTCACTGAGTTCACTTATTCACTGAGTTCACAAAATTTCTAGACTTAATTTTGTGAAGTTATTAATTTTGCTAGTTCAGAGAAGAGAAGAGAAATTATATTATACATTAAGACAATGAGAACCATTTTTTCTTCATGAATTTCCACAGGAACTGTTATAGTGCTTGCATTGAACAATGGAATTTATATTATCATTTATTTATTTTTTGTCTCTCTCTCTCTCTTCTTTTTTTTTTTTTTGTTTTTGTATCCATTGAATAGGTTTCTTGCTTTGTTCAAAATAAAAAAAAAAGTTGGCTTATTGCAAAATGTATAAACATTGCAACATTTAGTGGGATTACTAAGATTTAATATGCTTTTAAGGAGTTAACAGCTGGGTTGCTATTGAATTTAGTCTGGTAATCTAAAAATGGTTGTGTGGCTTAGGTTCATCCTAAATTTGTCACAATAAGGACTTGTCGAGACAGTAATTATGATGGCAAGGGTTGTCTAAAAGTGTTGGCTACTTATCTGAATTAATTATGAAAATCCACAAAGTATAGGTGCTCAGGATGTGTCAGATATATATAGGATTATCAAAGAGGTTTATGTGTTATTTGGGCTAGAAAGTAACAAAAAAATGCTTCAATTGTGGTTCAATGCACCATAAAAGTGAAGAAATGTTGAAAACGTAAATTTTTGGATCCTGTCATTATTTTGAGAGCTTACAATTTAGTTGTTATGATGGCTTAGTTATGACATTTAAAGACTTAAACATATTATATATATATATATATGAGGAATGAGGAAAGATCTGAGAACACCCTATACTTGTGGAAAGAAAAGATTTAAAACTGTACTTTATGATTTGCACGTTTCTATCCTCGCTTTCATTTTTCTTCAAAGTTCAAACAAGTTACATTAAAAAAATTTTGATTCCTCTACTTGTTACTTGACTCAGACTTGCAACAGTCAATTATTAGACATTTTTGTTTCCTCATGAAATCATGTTTCTATAATGCAGGTGAGTTTAAATCCAACTTTGTGAGGATGGTAGCTCAGTGGAAGGAAGATTTCATTGGCATGTTTTGCATTGTAGTAGGTATGGAGGATGCGAGAAATAGCTGTAGAATTCTAAATTGTCTATTTACATAAACTTATACAATGTTGGTGGCAAAATTTTTTGACCTTGATTTGTTTCACATCTTATCTTCTTCCAGTTATCAAAGCCTTGTTTACTTTTATTTTTTATTTTTTTATGTGCCTTAAATAATTTAGCCCAGAAATCTAATCAAGATTCAAGAACAGTGTAAATGTTTATGTGATGATGATGTTCAACTGAAAAAATAAGTAGTTCAACTAAAAAAACAGTGTAAATGTTTATATGTTGATGATGTTCAACTGTAAATGTTTATGTAAATAGTTATGTGCTTTTTTTCAATTTTCTTAATGAGTAGTTTCTCAAAAAAAGAAATCAATATATTTGAAAGATCAATTTCGCAGGATGGACTTAGGCTTCACCTGGATAGATATGCATTTGAAATCAATAGATTTGTGGTTGGATTTTATGAAAATATTAGAGTTCGTTATTCTAGTAGCATCTTTGTTGGTAAAAGAATATTTGTTTGCATGATTTCAGTTTTATATCTTATTCTAGTAGACATCATACTGATTTCGGCCTTCCCAGCAGACATCATACACATGATTCCAACACCTTGTCCCTAACTGAAAGTTGAATTGTCTATAAGGAATAATATGAATTAGATATGTACAAGTAGAATTCAAAGCTGTCAAAACTGTTGTACTCTTTTGTGGCAGAAACTACCAGAGAAAGACCAATTCATCACGAACTAACAAACCCAAATAGGTGCAAATATACAGAAATTATAAGTTATTCGTTGTGAGAATGTAAACCATCTGATGACACATTTTTGTATCAATAACTTCACAAAACATTTAACCTAGTGATTTCAACAAACATGAATGGTGTTGCCACCCTATTCACTCATTGGATTCTTTCGCTTCATATTTTTGCAGATGTCAACTTCAAGTGTTAACGGTAGTACCTCGGATCAATTGACGTATTGCAACAGAAATTGTCCTCAATGTCGAAAAAAAACAATCATTCTAATTTCGGAGACGGAACAAAACAAGAATAAGCTATTTTATTGTTGTCCTGATTGCAGTGGGTTTATTGCATGGTGCTTGCCTACAAATTCACAACGTAAGGAGGAAGAACAAGTGCGAATGGACAACACACCAACTGTCACCGAACAACTTCAAAGTATGGGTGAACGTCTTCGATTTCAAAGCGAACAACATCAGTTTCAGAACGCGTAGATGCAAAAATTGCAAAGAGACATAAATAGAAATTCGTGTTGTATTAATGGGATCTTTATCTTGCTTGTAATTGGTGTTATATTAATTATGAAAATGTAATAATTTTTATACAAGTTAGAACATGTAATTGGTGTTGTATTAATTATAAAGATGATATGTATGAAGATTTATGATAAATTACAATTATGGATTGAGAAGTATGAATATGTAATCATGTGGATTGTTTGTTATTTATGATATGGGTTGATTTTGGACAGATTTTGGACACATTTTGGGTTGATTTTGGACACATTTTGGATTGATTTTGGACAGATTTTGGACACATTTTGTGCTGATTTTGGACACATTTTGTGCAGATTTTGGGTTGATTTTGGACATATTTTGTGTTGATTTTGGACAGATTTTGGTTTGATTTTGGACTGATTTTGGACACATTTTGTGCTGATTTTGGACACATTTTGGTTTGATTTTGGACTGATTTTGGACACATTTTGGTTTGATTTTGGATTGATTTTGGACACATGTTGTGCTGATTTTGGACACATTTTGGGTTGATTTTTGACTGATTTTGGACACATTTTGTGCTGATTTTGGACAGAATGTGGACTGTTTGTCTGTGTGTTTGTGTGTTTGAATACATATTGTGGACAGATTTTGGACTGTTTGTCTGTTTTTGAACACATATTATGTATGAAGATTTATTTGTCTATTTGAAGACAGGTGCTTCACAGATTTGGACACTGGTTTGAACACTGGTTTTGACACAGTTTGAACACTGGTTTTGAACACTGGTTTGAACACTGGACATATTTTGGACTGATTGTGGACAGATTTTGGACTGTTTGTTTTTGAACGTTTTTTATGTATGAAGATTTATTTTCCTATTTGAACACAGGTGCTTCACAGATTTGGACACTAGTTTGAACACTGGTTTTTGACACAGTTTGACCACTGGTTTTCAACACAGATTTGAACACTGGTTTTCACCACAGATTTGAACACTGATTTTTGACCCAGTTTTAAAGACATATTTTTTCACACAGGTTTTTCAAGACAGATTCAAGGACAAGCATTTTCACACAGTTTTGAAGACAGATTTTTCCATACAAGTTTTTGAAGACAGCTTTTTTGAACACTGGTTTTTCACACAGTTTTGAAGACATATTTTTTTCACACTGGTTTTTCAAGATAGATTCGAAGACAGGTTTTTTCTACACAGTTTTGAAGACAGATTTTACCATACAGGTTTTTGAAGACAGATTTGCAGACATAATTTTAAAACAGATTTGTAATAATTTTTCATACAGATTTGGAACACATTTTTGACACAGATTTTTTCGAATACAGATTTTGGAACACATTAAATCTGTAACAGACAGAGCACAAATATAACATCAATTGGGAACATTAACTATAACAACAAAGTAGGGAGCAACATCAATTTGTTCTTAACCAAAAGCACATTAAATAAATTATTCAAAACAAAATAAACTCCAAGTTTAGTCACATAAAAGGCATTATAATTACAAGATTCCAACTAACGAAAACTACCACCATGGTCATTGCGGTCTGTTTATACATTCAAGTCAACAAATGAAGATGGTACGGCTCCATAAATTTGATGCGTAACAATCATGGATTGTTGAGTTGTCATAAATCCCGGTGTGCCTCCAATACAGTCTGATAGGGTCAAAGATGTGCCGACTCCATAAATTTGAGTTGGGGCATTCATGAAACTTTGTCTTCTCATAATGTCCACACTTGCCGGGGTGAGAGATGTGCCTCCAATAGCATTGACCATGAGTCCTTATTCAATTAAAATGAAATGTTAAAACCAATTTGCTAAACATTATTGAAAAGCAGTTTGCTCGATGTACACGTACCGGCACACACATACTATTTTCCATGCCAACCATATAAGGATAAAGCTCTCTACGTACATTACGTTCAGGTTGATATTGACATTGACCTTCACCTTCACCTCCAATCACTTTAGTACCCTATATTGACAAAGGTTAATGAATGGCTCAAATATATGACATGATTACAATAAAATATGAGTTGAATAGAGAGTAATGATACAAAACGGATGGATATGTATAAAAACCAATCAATTTACCTTTGATTTGTTATGTTTTCTTTTGCTTGCCTTCAACCGATTGACTATTTGATCTACTTTGGTGACCTTTCTTTTAGTAACTGGACAACCTTTTCGGCGAGCAACCAAAGGACTAAGCAACTTGGTATGATTAATTACCTTTCTATTAATGTTGCCAATCGGGGAAGATGGGACATTACTAGTAATAGGTGGTACATTACTAGTTGAAGGTACTACATTACTCCCACCACCTTCATCATCTTTCATCACTTTCGTCTTGATTTCATCCAACCCACGGTCAATAAGTTTTATTTTCCCTTCAGAGTTTCCAGCAAATTGTATAATGCCAATCAATTTTCTATTCATCTTATCATACACATTTGCATTGAAATCATCCCCAAAGCCAGTGTATGTTGTTTTTATGCATGTGTACCCTCTATCCAAATTTTTTCTCCATCGTGGTAGAATGTATTTATTTAGAACCTCATTTATGCATCTTGTAATGAGCACAACGAGTGAGTGAGCACACATGATGCCCCTAAATTCAAACAACCGGTACATACATTGCACATCAAATTCAGTCGAATTATAATAGACAACGAAGTCCACATGTTTCATCTTCCCAAAAACTACCACAGCTTCCTTCACAAAATATGTACAAATTGAACCCTCTTCTTTGACAAGAAACGGTTGACAATAAACTAGCCTCTTCATCTCAGCTTGAACTTCTTTGAATTTTGCATTGGTGTACGCATCCTGAAATTGTTTCTCAAAACCATACACAGTTAGGCAATCAAAGACTTTGTGCCGAGACTTGAAGTCAGCTTTCTTCTCTTTCTCTACATTACTTCTCAAGGCATTGTCATATTGTTCAACAAATTGTTCTAGTATAGTCTTTGGGTTGACATATCCATCAAAAAAGGCATTCATGTTCTCACTTCGTTGTGTCGTTGACATGCCAGCCCAAAAAATATCTTTGACATAGACAGGAACCCATCGATGTCGCTCATCATATAACACCCCCAACCACTGATTCTCATAAAGATTGAATTTTGCAATCATCTCTTTCCATTTCATCTCAAATTCATCTTTTGTGAAAGTGCCATAGACTGCATTTTGCAAATCCATCTTCATGGATTCATATTGGGAATACCCTTTCAACTTCTCCGGAATCTTCTTCATGATATGCCATAAACACCATCGATGTCGAGCATTGGGGAAGACTATTTCTATAGCCTTTTGCATAGCTTTGCACTGATCAGTTATTATAGCTTTTGGAGGATGATCTGGCATGCAATTTAACCAGCATTTGAATAGCCAAACAAATGTATCAGTGTCTTCGCTAGATAATAGGCCACAGCCAAGCAAAATCGACTGTCCATGGTGGTTAACTCCTACAAACGGAGCAAATGGCATATCATATTTATTAGTGAGGTAAGTTGTGTCAAATGAAACAACATCTCCAAATTCTTCATAAGCCGTCCGACTCATTGTATCCGCCCAAAACAAGTTTCTTATGCGAAAGTCAGTATCGACATCAATCATATAATAGAAACTCGAATTTTGTGCATGCATTCTCAAAAAATACTTTTGAAGTGCATCGGAATCTCCTTCTCCAAGCCTCAATTTTCTAGCTCTCTCAATGTAATTCCTTGCATCTCGTTCATCAAATGTTAAAGACTCATAACCCCCAGCTTCAACAACCATTGAGTTATAATTCCTAAACACCCCAATCCCTGCTTGATCATTAATTTCTAATCTTCTCTTCACAGGACTAAGGATTTTCTTATTCATTGCAAAATGGCGTGAGTCGGTGGGGATCAAGTCATGATTATGCTCAAGGTTAACTGTGGTTAACATAAATCTCCCATCCGTTTGTAGGCTTGCTCGTACCCTTGCTTTGCAATCAATTTTTGTGGACAGAGATGGCTTTAAAGGGTTTACTTCTGATTTTTTAATTCTCTTCCCCGATCGAGAACATTCAATTTCAAAGTATCTTAATTCCCCATCATCGCCAATAACTTGTGTTTTACAAGCTATAGAAAACCCAACATGTTTAGCATATTTGGCATAAAATATGTACACTTCTTGCTTTGAGGTAAAACACATACCCCTCTTAGGTTCCTCAACTTCTTCACTCTCATTTAATAAAAGGATTCTCAACACTATTTGAATCAATCTCCATTTCTTCTCATTCAAAAATTAAAATGAAATCAAATGATTTAATAACAGATTATTATAATAATAGATTATTCAAGAATTAATAACAGATTAAACCAAAACTGAATTGTTGTGTTGTGTTGTTTTTTTTTTTCATATCTATCTGAGCAAATGGAAATGCCATGTAGGTTCAGTGGTGTGAATGGTACCTAATAGTTAATTTGAATTGGTTCAAACAAAATGTTTTTTTTTTTCATATTTATTTGAATTGTTGTGTTGTGTATGTATTCAGCAGTGTGAATGGTACCTAATAGTTAATTTGAATTGGTTCAAACAAAATGTTTTTTTTTTTTTCATATTTATTTGAATTGTTGTGTTGTGTATGTATTCAGCAGTGTGAATGGTACCTAATAGTTAATTTGAATTGGTTCAAACAAAATGTTTTTTTTTTTTTCATATTTATTTGAATTGTTGTGTTGTGTATGTATTCAGCAGTGTGAATGGTACCTAATAGTTAATCAAGTGGTGGGTCTAATAGTTAATCAAGCAAATCAGTGTCAAATGGAAGCAAACAGGATTGAAATCAATCCCATGGTTGTCTTCAAGGAACCACCATTGGTTTCATTAACTCAAATGTTTCATAAACTTATAAATCTTCAACTGTTTTTTGAACTATTATAAACATCTGAGTTCAAACCTATTTTTTAAACATGGTTATAAACATCTATCTTGAACTGTTTTTTAAACATCTATCTTGAACTTATAAACATCTAACTTATAAACAGGGGATTTCTGAACTGTTTTTTTTTTTTTTTTTTATATCTATCTTGCTATGTCCAGCTCTGTTTGGACCAAACCTATCTTGCTATGTTTGGACCAAACCTGTTTTTTTTTTTTTTTTTTCATATTTATAAACAGGAGATAGAAACTGACCAGATGGAAGTCCAACTCCGACGAAGACACCGGACAGTGGAGGAGGGAGAAGACATCGGACGGTGGAGGAGACGAATGGCGGAGGACAAATCTACAAATGTCGAACGAGACAGCAAATGCCAAACGGTGGAGGAGAGGGACGACGGAGGAGAGGGCTGACGCCGGACAGTGGAGGAGAGGGCAAACACCGGATGAAGGAGGTGACAGAACGGTGGAAGAGAAGCTCAGATCAACTGTGCGGGAATTTTTTTTTTTCTTCTATATACATGAGCTCGATGGATCAACATTTGCGCGGGATTTAATTTTTTTTTTTTTTTTTTTTTACAGTGCGTGAAACACACGCACTCAATATGCAAATGGCCTTCAGTTTCATGCCTCACATGCCATCTGTTTAGAGCTCGGTTTAGAGCTCCTCTTCTAGTGGTCTGTAGCGGAACTGATTTTAAAATCTCTTACGAACTTAAAAAAGGTATTCAATACATTACATTTGTCATATTATCTCTTATGAACTTAAAAAAGGTATCATAAGTTGGAGCACAATATGGACTTGTTCCAATAACACCAAATAATTTTCCCTTCAAATCGCCGCTGACATGTATTAAGGCCTTGTTTGGGGACTAGCCAATTTAGCTAAAAAGTCAAAAAGTTATTAAAAAAATAAAAAAGTCAACAATCCATACCAAAAAGTCAAAGATTCTCTTTTCTCTCTACTTTTTGCACATCTTTTCGTAAAAAGTCAAAAAGTCATTCCAAACATACTGGTTTTTTTTAGCTCATATTTTAACCAAATAACCAAAAAATTACTAAATTAACCTGTTCCCAAACGAGGCCTAAGAGGTCTCAATTTTTTTTCTCATTTTGCTTCTTTTTTTTTATTCTCCTCCTTTTTTTTTCTTCTTTTTTCTTTTTTCTTTTTTTCTTTTTGGTTTTTTCGCAGCTAGTGTTTTTGGATTTTTTTAGTTTATTTTATTTTTTTTCCTTTATTTTGAAGCAATGAGAGGGAAAAAAATTACTTTTTTAAATGCAACTTATTTAGATGTATCTAAAAAGTAAAGTATTTATGAAAAATATTTTAAAAAAATTAATAAATACAAAAAATATATAAAAAAAATATACTGCATTTTCAATTTTTTATATTTTAGTGAATTTTTTAAAGATTTTTCCACAAAAATTATACTTTTTAAGTGTATTTATATTAGATATATCTTTTTTTTTTTTTTTAGGTACATCGGAATAGAAAGAAATGCAAACAGAGACTAGGCCCTAGCTCTCTCCTCGGAGAGGTGGACAATATCCGCAACTAATAGACGACTAAGTTCTTGAGGAGGTTCAGAAACTATTAGCAGCTTAGCTGGTTGGTTTTCCCCAAACTTTGCCATTGCGTCAGCACATATGTTGGCGTCCCTTTTGATATGTTGAATGGAGTATTCACAGCCTCTCAAGATGATGCGAGCATCTTCCACAATGCCTCTAAATGGGCATCTTTCGCCCGGTTCTTCGCTCAAAAGATGAACCACTTGCTCCGCATCAGTTTCAATGATAACTTGATTGAAACCCCGTTGAAGGATAATTGTAAGCCCTTTATAGACAGCCCACAATTCCGCTTCCAAGCTGGTACATATCTCTAGCCTTCCATAGTAACCACTAATCCATGATCCACGTTCATCCCCAAATAGCCCACCGAATCCACCCCCTCCTCCATTCCGGCGAGTGCTACCGTCCGTATTTAGCTTGATTTTTCCTGCACTAGGACAAGACCACACTGTTAGGCTCTTGAGTTTGAGTGGTTTTGTAATATCTAAGTTGAAATCTTGGGCTATTGCCTTAGTAAAATTAGTTATACTATTCACACTCTCAAAAATAGGAGTATTTTTATGTTCAAAAACCCATTTGTTCCGATTTTTCCAAATATTCCAAGTTGTGACAAGAAACAAAAAATGGAGTTTGTTTTTCCTTTTTATGTTCCGGGTGAACCAGTCTTTCCAAGACAGGTGAAGCATATTGGAGGACCAATCTTGGCCAAAAACTGCACACCAAACCTGCATAGCTTTAGGGCAAGACCTTAATAAATGTTCAATGTCCTCCACACTCCCACAAAACGGGCAACTCGGGTCATTAGTCAGACCCCTCAGATTTCTCAAGTGATTTGTGAGAATCTTTTCATGTAGTATAAGCCACACGAAACTCTTAAGCTTCTGAGGAGCCTTAAGCTTCCAAACCCAACTCCAATCCCCCTCTAGGTTTGGGTGCTCAACAATTAATGCATAAGCACTAGATGTAGAGAATTCTCCATCTGAGGATTTAACCCATCTGGGATAATCCTTGACATTTCTAGTGTGGGGAGGTTGAATTTTCAGGATATTAGTGACCAAAGGTAAGGGAAAAAGGGTATGTAACAAATTTACATTCCATTCGCCAAAGTCATCCATAAGTGAGTCCACAGTGATAGGTTCAGGGGAAGGATTTTGGAAATTGGATAAACACAATTCCTTATCCAGGACCCCCTCACCACACCACCAGTCTTGCCAAACCCGCACTTTGGATCCATTACCAAGCTTCCATCTCACTCCTTTCACCAGGAGATCCCTGGTATTTAGAATGCCTTTCCACACATGAGATATACTCATTCCTTTCCTCTTATTAAGGAAGGAATGTTGCCCCAAGTATTTATTCTTGAGAACTTCCACCCATAAGCAATTTTCCCCCTTTAACATTTTCCAACCCAACTTGGATAGAAGGGCTAAATTCTGATCTCTGGCCTTCCGAATTCCAAGGCCACCATCTTTTTTCAACTTACACACTTGATTCTAGTTCACAAGATGAACTTTCCTTTTCTCAGGGGTATCTCCCCAGAGAAAATTCCTGTTGATTTTGTCAATGTCATCACAAACTTTTCTCGGGATCTCCAAGGTTTGCATGGCATAGGCAGGCATAGCACTAGTTACAGATTGAATTAAGGTTGCTCTCCCTGCCAATGATAACATTCCCGATTTCCACCCAGCAAGTTTAGTCTTAAGTTTTTCCAGAATATAATTAAAATTTTCTTTACTCACTCTAGAATGAAGGGTTGGGACCCCAAGGTATTTCCCTAAATTTTGTGTTAAGGGAATTCTACTCAAAGTACTCAGGTTTCTAGCTCTGCTCCTAGAAATATTAGGGGACACAAACATATGAGATTTTTGGAAATTAATTTTCAACCCCGAAATAGCACTAAACTCATCCAAAACTTTCAAGTGACGTTGCACAAACTAATTGGACGGAATTGTGCCACATTTTCAGGGTTGGTGACCTTCGGAATAAGGGCTATATGAGTTCTGTTTATCACAGAAGGAATGGAGTAGTGGGCAAAACAATCTTGAACAAAATCAATCACATGGAACGCATCAAGAGGTTCCCCATTCCACAAGATAGCAGTGTTTACATTAGTAACACAGCTCATGATCATATCAACAAAGCGCCCATCAAATTGAAACTCTTGCATAGTGTGTTTAAGGAAATCCCATGATATATTATCATAAGCCTTTTCAAGGTCAACTTTAAAAATCATGTACCTCACCTTACCTTTTTTCTTTCTAAGGGTGTGAATAGCTTCCTGAGTAATGATGATGTTATCATGAGTGGATCTACCCGGGATAAAACTACTTTGATTAGGGCTGATGAGAGAGTCCAGGAGTGGCCTAAGACGGTTAACCAGGATTTTGGAAATGATTTTATAAGTGACATTGCACAAACTAATTGGACGGAATTGTGTCACATTTTCCGGGTTGGTGACCTTCGGAATAAGGGCTATATGAGTTCTGTTTATCACAGAAGGAATGGAGTGGTGGGCAAAACAATCTTGAACAAAATTAATCACAGACATTCCCACCACATCCCAAAAGGTATGATAAAATATAGCTTGGTACCCATCAGGACCCGGGGCTTTGAAAGCTTTGATATTTTTAACAGCCCTCCAAATTTCAATCCCAGACGCAACCCTACACATCTCAGCCTTATCCTCCAGACTAATGTGTTTA